TATATATATATTTTACTTCCCAGTCTCACTTAGCCTTAGGATCTCTTGATACTCTCCTATTCAAGAACTAATCTGGTCCATCTGGGCTTGGCTTTTGCAAATAGCCAAGATCAACAAGGGACTTCCAAGAACTGATCAAACAAGAATGCCCTGCAAGTGGTCACCTCCGAGATAATGTAAGAATGGTAAGCCTTGTCCCATAATAGAGTCTCCATAATGATCCCAATCTCCATAATTGAGATAAAAATAGTTGTTGTAGCTACAACTTTTTCCTTTCCTAAGGGCACTGTTGCAGTTTCACCATGCAAATAATAAAAAAATTCACTTGTGTCTGTATGAGCATCCTCATCTCTGCTCCCTAGGGCTGGAAAAGAAGAAGGGGAAGTATAGAAATTACACAAAAATCAGTGCTCAGGCCTGCACCCTGCCCCTCTCAATCTTCTTTTTGTCTTTGTATTTGCTTTTACAGGGAGGGAATAACAATGGTTGCTTTGTGAAGGTAACAACAAAGCTGCTTTTCCAATCATTCTTGAAAAAAGTGGGGTGGGTGGGGTGGGCATGTTGGCTTCAGGAGGGGAAAAATCCAAGGAGATGGGAGGCAGAGCAGGAATACCCACCAATGGAACACCCAGAGAAAAAACTATGAAATTGCCTTTGCAGCATTTGCTATGGGGTATCAACTGAGCTGAAAATTAATAGTCTCAGCTGGCAATGGCTTCAGAAAGCTCCACAGCATTCTCATAACACAGGGAGGTGGCATTGATCCTAGGTCTGGGTAGTCCTTATATGTGAAAGGGACATAAATGTGCAAGTCTTGACATTGGCCTTTATGCATCCATTACAAATATACAGAGTGAAAGAACTATAGCTGTTCTGAGACTTGGACATGCATGCTTAAAATTTGACCATAAAGGAAGATTTAATTTTGTTTTACTTTAATTTGTTAACGGAAAGTCAAAAGCGCAGATTATAAATCTGTTTGGTGCACCCTGGGGGTTTCAAAACTTTCCAATATTTGAGAGACAGTCTTTGAAGTACATCTGAGATAAGTAATAAAAACATATGTTCAGAAGAATGGAAAACAGATATGAAATCTGATCAGTTTCATATGCAAAGTTCACTGCCTTGAAAGCAGCAAGAGTGTTCCTAGTGATTACCTACTTCCTAATGTCTTTAGAACCAAGCTATTAATCATATATCTTTGTATGTATCTTTTTCCTGATGGTTCTTCCAGCCCTTCCTTCTTTACTGACAAACAGATTCAGAGGCTCTAATTAAGGGCTGAAAAAATAGTGCAGGGGGTGCAGCTTAACCCTTTCTCATCAGTTTCTGGCACAAAAACATTCTGTCCACATTGCTTTGAAAAGAAATCAGTCCTTCATGGTTTCTTGCAACAATTGTTAAAGCAACTAAGAGTTTATGCAAATAGTACTTCCTTCCCATTTCTCTCATACTCTTGGTTGGAAAAAGGAATCATAGAGAAGTAACTCCAAGCAGAGTCAGCTTTAGCCCAAAGCCATTTCCTTGTAGGGTTAGATCAGCCTTCTCCTAACTGGTGTCCTCCAGATGTGCCTTTAATCTTCCTGGCTGCAAGTTGGAGAGATGCAGTTCCAACACGACTGAAGGCATTAGACTGGGAGTGGGTAGCCTAGACTAAAGCAGCCAAATATAATAGTTCTCGTAGCTAGGGGGTAAACTAGGAGCACCATAATCAATGTGCGTGAGAACTGTGTTCAAATTAAAGACAACGCATATTTCCATCTTGAAACCATATTCTCTAACTCCTCAAAATACACCCTCTAAGTTTACCAGATGAAAATATTCCTATTCGTGAGAAGTCGGACTAAGGGCAGAGTCAGACAACTTAGCACAGCCTGAAGGATTGTGTGAACTATTGGATTTCAGACACATTGAACATATGAAGGAGTTGTTACACATATCTAACCCTTGGACTGAAATCTTTTGCTGATTCCTTATAAGCTATAACATGCCATTAGCATTTCACGTACAAGTATACCAGTAATATTGAATGAGTAGTCCCCTGAGGCATCTTTCATAACTTTGCTGGATGTCAGATTTTGCTGAACAGCAAAATAGCACCAAGATTGTAAAAATCAAAATAGCCTGAGGAGTTGCATTAATTCTCTTTCTATCCATTATATCTGTGTCTGTAGATGGAACTGAATGCACTTTTCCCAGATTCAGAGAAATCTAAAGAGGGATTGTTGACAACATGGGGGCAGAAGCACTTATTTAGCTGTTTTCAAACATTTTAAAGATAGACAGATGAGCTTAAAAAAATCACAAAAACGGTAGATTTCTCTATCTGAAGTTATTTTGTACATTCTTTGTTATGCTTCTTATGTTACCTCTTTCCAAAACAGCAAATTGTTCACAGTATGAACTGATACCAATATGATGCCCAACTACTTGAGTCACATAGAGATTGCTTTTGGTAATGCTGGAGTGGGTTGGGGAATGTTGGTTTGTACCAGGTGCTTACAGATGGGAATTTGAAGCATTGTATGTTGAGGGATGGAACTGGAGAGTGTTGGAAGAAGCAAAGTAAGTAGGTTGGGACAATGCTGAGGGCAAGGTAGAGCAATGACTGGATCAGGATCCAGAATGGGTTTTAGGAGATTTGGGCTGGAAATCCACCCCTAGACAGTGGCAGAGGCAGAGAGGAGGGAGCATGATGGAGACTGTAGTTTCATCCAACATCTTGGATACCAGGGAAGGATTAGATGTGTGGCAGTCACCATTTGTAAGCAGAGGACTGGGTGAGAGAGACTGAGTGGGGTGAGGTAGTACAAGAGCTTGCCCTGGTGAAAGCAGGCAAGGGGAAAGTGCAAGGCTGGGGCATGGAAGAGAGAGAGCTGGCAACATTAAGCAGATATTGGGGCTGCCTGTTAACAGTGCACAGAGGCTATGGCAGCTGTGGGCCTCTGAGGTGTCAGGTCATTGTGAAACAGTAGCAGTGTGAGGGGGAAGGGTTCGGACCCCTTTCCCTGGAAGAGAGGCTAGGAGGACCAAAGAGAGTCTTCCCCTAGAGTGAGAGAGGAGGTAGAAAATTAGTAAGGCTCTAATGGGAGTAGGACTTGAGGGGCTCCTGGGGAGGTGTTTGTAGGGAATGGTAGGTGTGGATGATGTGCATGTGGCAAGGGGCACCAGCTGTTTAGGTAAGCAAACTGTGGCCTCACTAGCTTATTTCAGTGTGAAATAAGGAACAGTAACCGATATGGAGTTTTGGGGGAGGTCAGCCAATCCAGTAGGGAGCTATGGCACTACACACCACATATCCAGTGGGTGGAAGAGGTAGTTTTGATGAATGGTGGCTGTTACAGGAGAAAGGGGAACCATAATTGGGTGCAGACTCCCATTTGTTACCCAGTACCTGCTTTTGAACCTGAAGGTCAGACTTCTGGGTGTCTTAGTCTCAGGCTGCTGTTAGTAAATATCTAGTTTGTTCATAATAAGATCTCTTTCATTCATGACCTGGCAGCACATGAATGGGCAGACTCAACATGTATCACTGAAACCTGATTAGGTAAAGAGAGCAATGTAGTCCTGACAGATATATGCCCTCCTGAAGATTTCAGATCCTTCAACAGCCACTGCTGATGATACCCAGTTATACAGAGTCACCCTAGGCCAGATCAGAGATGCCAAAGAAGTCTTTGCCTAATGCTAGGGGGCTGTAAGGGACTGGATAGGTAAAAAAAATCCTGCTCAGACTGGATCCCTGCTTTATTTCTGATCGATTAATAGATCTGAAAAGGTTACACTTCCCTTTGAAGGGTAAGGTCCATGGCTTAGGGGATTTCCTGAAAACCCCTGGTCCTGCTGGAACACCTTCAGGTTCTGCTGGAACAGGAGACAGAAACCATGACCAGGGGAGTCTTTGTCCTTCTTAAACTGGTGTGCCATTTGCAGCCCTTCCTGGACCAAGAAACCTTATCAATAGTAATCACACCCTCATCACCAAACAATTAAATGACTATAATATGTTCTACTAGGGGCTGCGTCTAACTGCAAAATGCAGTTGGTACAAAATGCAGTTGTCTGGTTAGTAATATGTGAGAACTGGAATTGTAATATCATATTGATCTGGGGTCACTACGCTGTGGCTATTAGTAGTTTTCCAGAGCCAATCCAAAGTTCTTTCCTTAATCTATAATGCCCTTTGTGACTTGACTTTAGGTTATTTGAGGAGCTGGCTCTGCTAATTGGATTCTGCCGAAACTGTGCAAGCATCCAGGGAAGGGATACTGAGGGCCCTGAACCCACACAAAGTCAAGGGGTCACGGACCCAGAGGCTGTCTTCCGGCAGCCTCAATGCTACGGAATGATTTGCCTTGAAGGTCTATTCTGGCATTCCTTGAGGCTGTCAAGACTGTTTTGTTTAAGCAGGCTTTTGAGATATAATGTGTGGATTTTTTAAATCTTCTCTTTTATTTTATTGTGACACTGGGCTGCTGCTTTTTTATTTGATTGATGGTTTGGGTTATGATGGTTTGGTCTGGCAGTTGGACAGAGTAATTGTTTGGGATTTTATATGATGCTTTTATGATGGTTAATTTGTAAACCATCCAGAATCTGGGAGCTTGGCAGTGTATAAATACATGTAATAACTAATTAAGTAATTAAATAAACCAATCCATTTTGCCTGCCATCAAACTGCAAAGTTCCTCCCTTATATGGAAAACCATGCCTTATTTCCAGCATTTCTTTATTCTTTAACGTAGTGGTAAATAGACTCTCAGCACATAGTATGGAAATGAGAACTCAATTTTCATTCTGAATGAATTGAGAGAAATAACCACAAAACTTGTGCTATTGCCATAGACAAGAGACCTACAATCCAAAGCAGTGTTAGTGAAGAAACCAAGTGGGTTCAAGCTGTGAACCACAGCAACAGAAGGGGGCTTGCATATAAAACATCACTATCGCAACATGTGAGAATTTCAAACAGATCCTCAGACACACACATTTGAATTTTGTACAATAGATCCAGGTTTTAATTATGCAGCCTCCAGATGTAAAACTCACAGCTGAGTTGGTTCAAGGTTTATATGTCTCCCAGTGGCAACACTATAGTTCCATTTACATGTAACTCTCTCAGCAAGGAATCAGAGAGATGATGCCAGATGGCACTGTGTGTAAGAAGGCTATAAGAAGCACATCTACCCAGAAAGTTGCTACAATGCCATTATCATTATCTTACTATTATATGAAGTTGCCCACCTTGCCCACAAATGCCACCAGACGTATATTGGCTGGAGTCTCATCAGAGCTGAGCCAAAATTCAGAATTATCATCCGAAGCTACAGAAAACTGAAAGTCTCCTATAAGACAAGGAAAGAGAATTTAACCATGAACAAGACAAAGGTAGCAGCAGATAAGAGCAGGAATGTGGAGTGAGATTTAAATTTGTTTCCTGTCCTGGTGGGCTGGGCATGTACCTGCAAGTTACAATGTCATGTGTTCTTAAATGTTACTGTCTGATCTCAAAAATCTAGAGTGGCAATGCCTCATTGTTGTTGCTTATTTTTAAGAAGGGAGGTGAAAGAAATAATGTTTTCTCATAAGCTTTTTGAAGGCATGAAACCTTGTGACCAGGGGAGGGAGTAAGGAGCAAAACGTGATCCAATCATTACTTAGATAATCTGGCTTCCTCTGAAGCTGTCCAAAAATGCCCTTCTGAGACTGTAGGAGAAAGGCAATAATAGGGGCTTTCTGGATAAAAATATTCTTTCACAAAGGAAGCTCTGCCCTTGAAAGGGAAGTTATTGTACTCACCATCTTTGAAGGGATGAATGTAGCCAAAAATACGTAGTCCATAATTTTTCCACTTGGGTGACACAGCCAACTTTTTTACTGTTGTACGAGTCTAAAGTCAGAAAGGAAAAGAGAGTCTCTTTGCATGTAACATTCCACTTCACAGGTTTTGGGCAAATGCTATGCAACTATATTCACTGTAATTGCACACTGAAAACAGAATATATATGAGTTTCTATGCATTGTACAAATTCTATGCATTATACAAAACATCAGCAGGGTGAGGGAATGCCAGTTAAACTTTCTCTCCAGTTATAGTAAATAATGTCCTATTACTTTTGTGATACTGTCTGCTTTATTATGTGTTGTACTATTGTCTTGATGTTTTGCTCTTGTAAGCTATTTTATATTGCTGGCCTTTGGCTATAAAATTCATTCATTCATTCATTCATTCATTCATTCATTCATTCATTCATTCATTCAAGTGACTATTGTAAGAATAAAGAACATTAATTACAAGAATGTATGAAGCCAAGTGGGCATTTCTATTGTACTGCTGATCTCCCCACACTATAACTTCCTCTATCAGGACCAAATTTTGCAAGAGTTTCCAGATTTGGTCTGTCCTAATCAGTGGGAATTCCTTGGCCATTATCATAAGAATAGGATACTATACAGACTATATTCTTACTGAATTCTGTGCCCTTAGGTTGTACTGAACTGCAACTCCATTTATTTTTTTAGTTTTTTTTAAATCCTGCCTTTATTATTTTTTATAAACAACTTAAGGCAGTGAACAAACCTAGTACTCCTTCCTCCTCCTATTCTCCCCACAACAACACCCTTGTGAGGTAAGTTGGGCTGAGAGAGATAATTTCTGGATAGCACAGTGTTTAATTAGGAGAAACTGTAGTCCAGCAAATCATGATGGCTCCTGATAAAGAAAAGACCATTGTTGTGATTATTTTATTTTTGTACACTTTGATTTTTCTTGCTTTGTTGTATACTATCCAGAGTCGGCACAATTGGAGCAGTTTACAAATGTTGTAAACATATGAATGAATGCATAAATAAATAAATACTATTAAATTGAGTGGAAGATATTACTGGACTGGAGTTCACTAGCATTTAGATCAAGCCAAACATTTTAGCAAAATGTAAATTCATTCCAAAAGTGCTTAAGAATATTTACTGCATAGAGAAAGAAAGGAAACACTCTCTCTTGGAAGTTATGAAACACTGGCATTTTTTTGGAGAATAGATTATACTCACATGAGGATATAGGGGAAAATGCAGATTCTTCCTTAGATGTCCCACAGCTCCTCCACACCAGTCTTCAAATACATGCAGGTTTGCTCTCCCTTTATACTGCAGAATAAAATGGTGTCATTTAGGCTATACATAAATTCTCCAGCAGTTTTTGTAGAGTATGATGTATGTATGTGTAGGTATGCAGGTTTGTGTATGTATAAAACAAGAATACAGAACCTGAGTTCCTCTAGAAATGTTGGATTTCAACTTGTATCACCCCAAACCAATGTTAAAGGGTTGTGGGAATTCTTGAATACAAGTTTAGTAATGTAACACATCTTTCTCCTAGAGATGCCAGGTAGACACATAAATTGTTGATAACATTCATCGCCAGCAAAGAGGAAGGCTATGAATTTCATTAAAACAAAAAACAAACAAACAAACCCCAAACTAAGCATCACTCCATATTTTACATGGTAGATATTACTGGATAGGTACTGATGAACGCAATGCATTATACAGTGTAACCCACTACAAGATTCTCTGGAGTGTAGATAGGTTATAAATATGTTAAATAAAATGTGCTTGAGACGAGTTTGAGATTCCCTAAAGGATAAATATTAATGTATACCTAAAAAAGATGATATGGCAGCCATTTGTTTATCAGTGAATAAATAATTGAATAACTGAAACTTCTGACTAGTTTATAAATATGATTTAAAACCAGAAAAAACCTTAAGTATAATAAAAGAATGTAAAATCAGAAGAGCTGCAGAATAAACCAAAATATACCAACAGAAGAGAATATCTCTAGCTCAGGGTTGAAGTGTGGAGTCCTTGGTGTTCTCTGTGCTTGTTTTCTTGCAGACGTTTCATGACCCAACTAGGTAACATCTTCAGTGCTAGAAGGGAGCAGGGTTTGCTCTCTGTTTATATAGCTTACCCTGTCAGTGTTGGAGGAGGTGTTGTTTTTCTCCTTGGTATAATAGTTCTTTGATTAGGCTTTTGTTTACTGCTTGTTGTTTACTGATGAGGCAAGCTACTGTATATGAACAGAGCGCAAACCCCACTCCCTTCAAGCACTGAAGATGTTACCTAGTCCAGTAATGAAACATCTGAAAGAAAACAACCAAGCTCAGAGAACACCAAGGACTCCACAAACCAAAGTACACGAAACAGAACAAAATTCTACCACTTGCATCCTGGCTTGTGGTATTAGCCCAAAGATGGGCTGGGTATTTAGACCTTAAAAGTCAATAATGCCTCCTTGAAAAACAATGATGTCTCCAACTCTGAAAGAAACAGGGGTGAGGCTTAAAAGCTTAAAAGCACTAGATGCTATAGTTTCAGATAGCCAGTTGCAATCTGACATATCTGATAAAGTACTGGAGCACATTATGGGCTCTCAACTAGAGCCAATAGTGAGATCATTTAGACCCATCCCAATCAGTCTTGATTATGGGAAAACTGATATAATCAATATTCTCCCAATAGGAAAGGAAATATAAAATGAAAAAAACTCTAGCTTCTGCACAGCCAGCATAATTTAGGAAAATCTTTCCTCCCAGTATTACCTTTCCTGTAATTCAAACCCACTCAGTTGGTCACAGCCACATGCAGTAGTAATGGCCTCTTCCTACTACTGACAGCTACACCCTAACATTATTGTATGATTTGGCATAAGCTTAGTACCAAGCCAATATTGGTACTAAGCTTATGCCATATCATTTGTATCATCCAAGGACTCTCGTGGCTAAGAAGAGGAATTCTGTCCAGCTACAGCAAGATATATGGTAACTGCTGCATATTTCCCAAGCTGCCTTTATCAACAACACATTTTCATTGGAAAAAGCAGATCTAAGCCCAACAGATAGTTGTATTAAACCAAAATGTTATTACAGCAACCTCAGAGATGCATGGGGATTACAGTTTTATAAGAAGGTTGAGAATTTTCTGTTAGAGAATCTTAACTCACACAGAGCTTCTTACTACCAGGGTTGCGCTATATCTGCCTTTGTGTACTCCTACCCCCATGTTTTTCTCATTATTTTGTAATTTCTTTCTACCTTCTGAGGCTCATTCTACTGGTTAAGCACTGGCACCAACTTATGGACTTTATTTATTCTTTCATTACTACTATTGACCCTCCCTATCGCAGCTCTGGTTCATAAAATATGGTAGCATACTGAAGACACAATAAAAATGTACTTTTATTAAGGCCTTGCATTAGCAAGATTGCAACAATTTTTGGATGGAAAAGGGACTCTTTATTTATAATTTAATATGTTTGGGGCCAGCTAGTTAGACTGTGCAAACCTGGTATTCGTGAACTCTGTTTTTATGTTGTTTTTTTCTTAGTTTTGTACGCCACCCAGAGTCCACTGGAGTTGGATGGCCAATAAATTTAAAATAATAATGCATATACTTTACATAACAGAGAGAAGTTAGTATTATAATCCTTCCTTATCACATCCAGGCACTCTTGCACATAGACAATTTTGATTGAAGATGTTTTCAAACACAGGATCTCTATGTGCCTTCTAAGGTAATACAGAGCCATGTGAAGTAGGGCTCTATCATGGATAGACATGTATGTTATGTACCTTGAAAGTTAATAGTCTTACATGAATGAGAAATGTGGAGAATGGAAAAGTTCCTTTGCTATTCAGAAACAGCCCTCTGCTATTTAAGCCTACCTGTAGTAGAAAAAAGAAGCTACATTTTGGTATCATCTATAAAGTAGCACCATCTGTAGGTACTAATATCTAGAACATGTTATTTCAACAGACATTTCCAGAGGTTACAAGATAGGCACGCTACCTTCTTAGTGTAGCACTATGTAAACTGAATATCCCATTTCTATAGAGGTCCTCTAGGTGTACAATTCTTTAAAATTTCTTAACCATTCTTTGGCATATATTAACCCACCAAAGAAACTTAAAACAAAATCAACACATAACCCATCCCCCACATAACCATTTAGACTTTGAAAAAATCCTTGGTATATGTCACCAGAGAAATTGTCTAGAATGTATAAAGGCACTTCAAATTTATGTTGGAAGTGTGAACAACAAGAAAGGACATTTAATCATGTTT